AACAGAAGACCATGGGGGGTGGGAAGGGGAAAAAATAGTTACAGAGAGGGAGGAAGGCAAACCAAAAGAGACTCTTAAATACAGAGAACAAACTGAGGGTGGATGGAGGGGGTGGAGAAGAGGGGAAAATGGGTGATGGGCATTGAGGAGGGCACTTGCTGGGATGAGCACTGGGTGTTGTATGTAAGCGATGAGCCATGGGAATCTACCCCAAAAACCAAGAGCACACTTTACACACTGTATGTTAGCCAATTTGACAATAAGTTATATTAAAAAAATAATAACTAATAAAAATAATTGAAAAAATAAAAACAAACCCCCTCCCCCTCAAAAAAGATCCTTTTCAGATCTAAGAGTCTACATTCTAAAAGAATATAACAAAATAGCAGCAGTAATAGTCACTGAATTATCACGTGGCAGAAATCTTGCTGGGTACTATTTACTGAAGATACAATTTTATATGGAATGGCAGTACTGGCATTACTGCATCACTTTCTTTCTTCTTTTTTTTTTTTTTTCATTTTTTAAACTGGAAAGAGGATAGATGGTTAAATTATATCCTTTTTACGGTTAGGCCCTAGTTCCAAGAAGAATCCAAAGTGACTTACTGCAAAAATACATAAAAACTGAGCCTTAACACAGGATATAGATCACATTAAGTAATAAATATGGAAAAAGTATACCAAAAAAATTTTTTTTATTATAGGCTATGTTGAAAGTCATGACAATTGAATTGAAAACTCTGTCCTAATCCTAAACTTCCAGATAGCAAAAGCAAAGAGGAAAATGCAAGTGGACATGTAGCCTTTTGAAAAGATACTATCTCAACAGAGAAAGTTTTCCAGGCTGAGCTTTTAGAAGAATTTGCAATCAGGTTTGGTTTGATTCTAGTGGGGAAGAAGGGAATGAAGAGTGGAGGGAAATAAATTTAAACCAATTTTTCAGATATTTAAAATAAAAGTTTAACTTTACAATTATATGTCTTATGGTTTAAGTTAATTAAAAAAAATTTCTTAATGTTTATTTTTCAGAGAGACAGAGTATGAGTGGGGGAGGGGCAAAGAGAGGAAGACACAGAATCTGAAGCAGGCTCCAGGATCCGAGCTGTCAGCACAGAGCCCAACATGGGGCTTGAACTCACGAACCACAAGATCATGACCTGAGCTGAATTTAGACGCTTAACTGACTGAACCACCCAGGCACCCCTCAAGTTAATTTTTCTCAATTAACATATATTTTGTGATTAACTTAGAAATGATCTTGGATTAACTATTACTCTGCCTACTTGAAAGAAGTTTCATTTTCAATAAGGCTCTAGAATTTTATGAATAATACTCCAAAGCCCTCTTTGCTTTGAATTTTTCGAATAAATGGAGACAGAGCTGTTGGCAAGACTCATAGCCAGAATCAACCAATGGATTCCGTCCAAAATAGCTATCCTATCAGGCTTACTCACTCTAACCTCCATGCCTTTGGGCTTAAGACAGAAAACTTTACAAAGTAGGTAGGTAAAACAAATACAGATTGATTTCCGTTAAATACAGTTGTAAAAACTTTGAAAGCTTTGGGGCACCTGGGTGCCTCAGTTGGTTAAGTGTCTGACTTCAGCTTACTTAGGTTATGATCTCATGGTTCATGGGTTTGAGCCCCGTGTTGGGTTCCACACAGAATCCCTTCTTGGGATTCTCTCTCTCTCCCTTTCTGCCCCTCCCAGAGACTTGTGCTTTCTCTCTCTCAAAATAAATAAATAAACTTAAAAAAAAAAAAAAAAAAACTCTGAAAGCTTTTACTTATGACCTCTCTTTAAGAAAAGAACTTACAGAGAAGACCTATTCTCTTGTTGTTTGTTTTTAACACATGGAAAAAAAATGCATGTGAAATATCCAGAAACGATTAACGATGCTAATACGTTTTTTAATGTGGTAAAATATATATAACATGAAAGTTACCATTTTAACCATTTTAAGTTTACAGTCACATTGTTGTGCAACATCACCATGCTAATTTTTTTTTTTTCAACGTTTATTTATTTTTGGGACAGAGAGAGACAGAGCGTGAACGGGGGAGGGGCAGACAGAGAGGGAGACACAGAATCGGAAACAGGCTCCAGGCTCCGAGCCATCAGCCCAGAGCCTGACGCGGGGCTGGAACTCACAGACCGCGAGATCGTGACCTGGCTGAAGTCGGACGCTTAACCGACTGCGCCACCCAGGCGCCCCACTAATTATTTTTTAATATATCCATATGCTACATCTCATTGTGTTAGAGTAAGCAGTTAGTTAGGCTTTAACAGGATGCCTGGAGGCCAACAAAGGAGGTGGGGCTCGCTAGCCTAGCAGGGAAGTTAGAGACCTTTGCTGGCAGCACACCAAAAACAAACCCACAGAAGCCAGATCAAATCAAACAGGCCCAAGATGAAGAAGGCCAGATAGAGATGCAGACCAAGTAAGGGAGAAAAGGTGTGAAATCCTGCTCCCAAGAAATCCCCTCCCCAAGTAATAAATATTCCACCCCCTAGTTAACAACTGTCAATAAAAGAAACCCAAACCCCAGAGTGAATAGCTCTCCCTTGAGCTTGCCTCCTCTCACATCTTGGAGAGCATACTCTCACTTTAATAAACTTTTCTACTTGCACTGCTCAGCTATTGTGTCTGGTATATCCTTGAATTCTTTCTTGCAACAAGACCAAGAGCCTTCGGAGACATCTTTGAGATGAGGGTTCCGGGTCTCCCCAGTTCACCTGCGACAATTTCAGCACTAACATGTCCAAATTGTTTTTCTAAGTATCTTTTGGAACTGAAATTTAAATATTTTCTTATCTAAGGAAAAAAGTATGTTGACTAAATAAGACAGGCAATTCACAATATTATGGTAATAGATTTTCCAACCTAAGTTTTCCAGGACATCAGCAAACTATGTCCTAAAAAGATAAGCCTACCAACCAAATCCAATGAATTATTTTAATAACTGTACTTCATTAATAACTGAACTCAGCCCACAACCTTGGACATTTGGAAAAAATGAATGCTGAAACCCAGAAATGTGTAAGACAAATCATAAGCATTCCTTAACAGTAAGATGTTAAGTGAATGTTTTCCTATAAATTAGTCCCATTGTGGCTCAATGATATACAGTAAGGGCAAGGATGGGCCGAGGAGCAGGAAAATAAGGTATGTTACAGATATTCCAGAGCCATACATAACTGAAAGCATACCTCTGCATAAGGGCTTTTTACATTTTACCCTTTAGAGAAGAATTTTCTAAGTTCCTTGCTAGGCATTTCTAAGTAATGACATATTAACCTGCCACCCTCTTTAAAAGAATGAATTACAAGAGTAGAGACTAGAATTGGTGATAAGTAATTCAATGGCACAATTGATCAATATCCACTCCAACTAATTGGGGCAATTTGACCTTGGCATATTTGGATTTCAAGACAAATTTCTCTTTTTTCCAAGTCATTTCAAATTTATGAGATATTAATTAACTTATCACAGACTGCCTAAAAGCAACATTTATTTGTTTCAGTAAGTATTTACTGTGACTTGACTAAAATGAATGACATGATCTGTTTCTCTTCTCAGTAGACCTCTTATAATCATTAAAATATGCCTGCTATAAATGGGGGCAATCCATATATATACAATCAGCAACTGAAAAATCCTTAGTCAAGCAGTCTTGAATTTTTTAACTTTAGGGGGCATCTATAGTTCAAGCTCATATGCACAATGCAAGCATTTCATCTTTACCATAAATGGAAAGTAAACTGGCTTATATCTCACTTATTGGGTTCTGATTACATCAATCAAACCTAAGTGGTTACAATACAGTGGCCATTAAATGTCAAATGAATGAATAAATACTCTAGGAAAGAGCCTTCCTGGAAGGAGTTGCCATTACCTGCAGAAGGGGAGGCCTTTAAGGGAAGGGGAAGGGGGAGGTTTAATTAATTCTATTCTCAGAAAGAACAAGAAAATCAGACTGCTCCAAAAGAACACACACAAAAAGGATTTAGATATAAACATTACATCAGGAATCATAATAGTACATGCATTATACATCTTAAACTTGGTAGTTTTGGGGGTCATATTTATTAGTGATTAGCAATAAAAAAACTTAAAACGGAACCAAGTATATGTCCATAGGGGCAGCACAAAAGAGAGATCTACTTCACAGTGCTGCTGGGAAGAAAGAGAGGAACCCTAGATATAAGGGTGAACAATGCTGGTTTTAACCAAAAACAGTAACAAAATGGCATAAAGATTGTGTCTTTTCATCTTTATATTAAAACAGAGTGCATGGCATATAGTAGCTACTCACAAAATGTCTGTTGAATGAATGATTCCTTCTTACTTCCTTCCCCCATTTCTTCTTCCTTTCTTCCTATTTATCACTCCTTCCCCCTTCCTTTCTTCTCTCATTCTCTTTTCTTCCATCATTCCTCCTTCCTTCCTTTTCCTTCCATCTAGCGCTTCATTATTCCCTCCATCATCCAACACCCATCCAATTTCTCCCTCCTTTCATCTCCACAGCCTGCAAAGTCTAAAGGATCAAGAGATTTCTTGACAAGGTCTTAAAAACTTTGCAGTTTGTCTTCTTGAAACCTATTCAAAATATATTTTAGTTCTAGGCAGTGAAAATAAGATCAACTGTGGCCTCACTTCCTACTAAGAGAAAAAACTCCAGAGAGAGAATCGACGGATGTTGTTAGCAGAAGCTGACATTGTTGTTCCTTCCCAAGATAGAAAGATCACACTTTGTAGCACAGAAAGTAGCATAATACTACTCTGAGGATACCAGAAACGAGTAAAAATTACTTTTAGATCAGCCCCTTGTTCCTAGCCCATATTTGAAAACCCAATTCCCACATCTTTCCCCCATTCCCACCTCTCCCTCCCCAAAGTAGCTACAACAAATACTTTTGCTCCCCCTACCCCATCCCTTTAGTCTCATACTCCAGAATGGAAGAACCTTGACTGACTTCAGTATCAGTCTCTTACCCTGCCAGGAAAGCTAAGGAGTAGGAGTTGTTCTTGGAAACAAATGCCGAGCGATGTGTCTGTGTCATCTTGCCTCGGGAAGGTTCTTCGTTCTCTGAATCTGAGAGGCGTGCAGGACACTGGCAGGAGACAAGGGAGACAACATTGTCTATTTGTGTTCCCATGGAATCTCCCATAGCTATTGTTCCACATCTATTATATGTCATTTCTCTCTAAGCACCAATGTTTCCAACCGCTTCTTGGAGATCCCAATCTGGATATCCCAAATAGTTCAAACTTAATATATCCAAAATTAAATTCAGTATTTTCCTCTCTAAGCCCCACTACCAACCCAGCTAGAAGCCTCAATGTCATTATGACTCTTTCCTTTCCCTTTCTTCAAAGTCACAGAAACACTGCATAGAGGTTTTGAGTACCCCCAACACTTCTAAATATTTTATTTCATTTATGCTTTATATCGGTCCTATTAAGAAGGGATTACCTTTCTTCTACAGATGGCAAACTGAGGCCCAGAATAATTAATTTGCATAGGACTGTAGAGTTAATAAGTAGCTAACACTATGACTTAAATCCAGAGTGTCTGTCTCCAAGTGCCTTCATGCTAGTTCCACTCTACCCCATTCTACTCCTAAAATGCCTTTCAGACAGAACTCCTCCATGTATACTCATTGTCATTGCCTTTCCTTAGATTCTCAACCTCTTTTTCCTGGACTGTTGCAATTATCTACTTACTGGTCTTGTTCTCTCCAGCCTTTTTCCCTCTAATCCTACCATACTGTTAAGCACACAAATATAATCCTGTTACTCCCCTGCTTAACTGTTGGTTAAAGGATAAAGTGGAAACACCTCAGTATGATACAATAATCTTCAAAAACTAGACCCAACCTTCTTTCATAATTTTTCTCCCACCAGGTCTCATAAAGGGAACTCCTTGAGCTCTAGTACAACCAAACTACCTTCTACTCTCCATGTACCATCAAAGACTTTCAAAGGCTCTGTTCTGAACATGCTACTCCCTTTGCCTAAAACTCCTATTCCACATTTTCTGCCTAAAAGAAATACTCATTGGCCCTTCAGAGGCATCTGAAATGTCACTTTCTCTGCAAGGGGTTCTAAATACCCCTAGAATCAGATTTTTCCATCTTGTTGATACTCATTCAGTTACCTTCATTTTATTTTAGAGTCTTATTTTGAGTCTTTCAATTTACGTTTGAAGTTTCTTTACACGTACTTAGAAAAGAGGTCTGGAAGGTTATTTACCAAAATGTTTCTAAGAGTTACCTCTAAATTGTTAGATGGCAAGCAGTTTTTCACTTTTTGCTTTATAATCTTTGATAAGACTAAATTGCTATACCAGATTGTTTTCCAACAATTCACATTATTATTGGTATTAACTATACCATAACAAATCATAGTAGATTGTCATGTCCATCTTATTTCCACTCCACATTGATAACAACAGATGGTAATATCTTCTAGAATAAGCACTTTCTTCCCTCCATTGAATTGAATTTGATAAACATGTACCCAACACCTATGATGTACAAGACAGTGTAGGAGATTTTAAAATAGCTAACTCAATTTTAAAGATTGAGTTAGATTTTAAAATAGATTTTAAAATAGCTTACTCAACAAACTTATAAATCTAGTAGAGAAACACAAATACACAACCATAATCTAAGGGAGAATGAAATAAATCCTGTAAAAGTTACAAAGTTGGGAGGGGAAAGAGTAGATGATAGGAGTAGAGAAACAAGTGAGGAATCCCTAATAGGTTCCAGGAAGGTGACAGCTTTGGAACTGGGCTTGGACAGATGAATAGCTTTCAAACAGGTAAGCAGGGTGGCATTTCAATTAGATGAAAATGCAAGAGCAAAAACTCTTAAGAAAGAAAAGCATAAAGCTATATATTTGGGGGGAAAGTAAACAGGTCTGTTCTCTAGAATTTGGGGGTATGAGCAAGGATGGAAGATAAGTTAGAATTACACTAAGGACTTGAATGTTAGAGTAAAGAATTCTCATTTACTTTCATAGGAAATGAGGTGTCACCAAGTCTTTGGGGGCAGGAAAGCAAAATGATCTGTTCAGCTCTAATCATAATGTTCTCTCCATAAAAAACAATCCTTCAGCTGGCTTTCCACTGAGACCACTTGAGCTTCTCTTAGGTCCCCATTTGAACGTAGTCTTGGCTAAACTAAATGAAATTATTTTTTTAACACCAAAAACTCTTAAGACATATTTAAAGCAAAATCAGAGCCATGTAAAAGTCCTCAAAACAGACAAAAGCAAACAGAAAAAGAGGTAAAATAGCAAAAATCTAAAAGTTTAAGTGTTCATAAGTGAGATTTTATTCAATCTGTTTTTGTATATAAAATGTTTTGAAACTGGGGCGCCTGGGTGGCTCAGTCGGTTAAGTGTCCGACTTCGGCTCGGGTCATGATCTCACGGTTTGTGAGTTTGAGCCCCATGTCAACCTCTGTGCTGACAGCTCGGAGCCTGGAGCCTGCTTTGGATTCTGTGTCTCCTTCTCTCTGCCCCTCCCCCACTTATGCTCTGTCTCTATCAAAAATAAATAAATGTAGAAAAAAATTTTTTTTATGTTTTGAAACTGACTACTACCAATAAAAACAAGTCTGAGGATTTATACTTCTTGATTCCTTTTAAGATTACAATCAGGTTACAATTCCTTTTAAACTAACAAAATGCAGTTGATTTCTGTTTCAAAGTTGGTAGTGGCAAAAGAAAAAGCAATTAGAGCAATTTCCTGGCCTTGACATGAATTAATACTAGAGATCTTTTCCTGGATGAAACCTGAATCCGGCAAGGCCAAAAACAGCAGGTTCTTTCTATCAAAGGACCACAGTGAAGGGTAAGCTCTCTTTGTCAAGACTGGTTTGTCCTAAAGAGAAAGGTCCTTCTGGATCATTTTGCCTGAAGGCTCTAAAGGACAGTCCTGTTGGGGTAAAGAGGCAAAGGTTGCTGTCTAGAGATCACAGACCACAGTTGGGGCTACTAGTCAGAAAACATACTGTAGGCACAAGACATGTTTTATTCTCGCCATCCTAGTTAAACTGCATGCTGTCCAGTAGCAGTCTTTTTCCTTTTGTAGTTCCCAATGAACAGAGCATTAAGAGTACACAAGCATTTCTTATTTGTTAAATTGAATCTTATGGAAGAGTGAAACCCTCTAAAATGCAAGTGATTGGTTTTGATAAGAATTAAATAATAACGATTATTATTATAAATGGGATAAAAAATGCACATGCATGTTGATAGCAGCAATTACTATTGATCCAAGAAAGCTTAAGTAACTTCATTTCCTGAAGGTCAGGAAAAATACCTTTGCAAAGAGTAAAGCCAAAACACAGTGAAATTAAGTAACCTGGCCAAAGTCGTACAGTCCGTTACAATGCTGGGATCTGTTTAAGGAGCAGACTTCTGAAGGTGCAGAAAAAAATTTTTCCTTCCATTCTATGTTCTCTGTATTAAATACAGTAAAGTTTTTATTAATTCCAGCTCATTGGGAAGCTAACCTGAAATACTAAGAAGGCTAAATCACAAACTATTCTAAAAGATTATGACACTAAAGATATTGTAAGTACACACAGCAAGCAACAGAAAAAGGTCTGATCCAGTAAGACTTAACTAAAGAAAAAAAACCCAATTGTAATTATCCATTTGAGCATTCAGTAGGCCTTCCAAAAGTGCTTTCATACATACATTAAATATACCATTTACAACCTTTTTGAGTAATTTGCTTGGTAAAAAAGTGATGAAAACAATTCAGGCAAGATTTGCAAGATTACAAGTCTAGAGTTAGTTTAAACTAAGGGTTAGCGTTAGTTTAAACTAAGTAACTTAGGGTTAGTTTAAACTAAGTAATCTGATATTGAAGTCCTACCTTATATCTAGCACTGTGTTGCTTAAGGCATTAAAAAGAACAAAAGGAAATCAAATACAAACTTTAAAGAAACCTAGTTGAGAATATAAGATGTACAAAACTCAAAGGTCAAATCACAACACAGAAGTCAAAACGACAACACACATGTAAGTAGTACTGAATAGAACAGTATTGAATAGTAGTGAATAGTATAGAATACTCCACAAGTAGTATCCTGTACTAGGTTTTTCCCCTCACTCACCTTTTTTCCCCACTGTTCCTTAATCTTTTCACCCAAGTCTCAATTGTCTCATTCAGAATTATTTTCTCCAGCTGTCATCGAGGCACTAAGTTTTTCACTACTCTTAAACTGCATACTCAGCGACTCTTCTGGTCTCATAGCTCACAAACATAGGTTTCCAGATCCCCATCACCTGGGATAATTACTGATTTGGGGCCAGATGTCCATCAAAATGGTGATCTACTTACATGTTCCAGATTTGATTTCAGTACTAATGGCTCATCTCTCTTTTTCTGTTCATCCATTTTTCTTTTCCCTGTTTCTGTATCCTCTGATAACAGCTTGTGGATTTGATCTTCAGAGGTTTTCTCCTCTTGCAACTTTTCTTCTCTCAGCTAAAAATACAAATCACACCGAGGAGAGTTTTAGGCAACTATAGACTTCAAAACATTTTTTACTCAGTAGTCTATTAGAACAAACATCACATGGAAGTTTGAGACTATTTTTCTTATTAGATATAGAGCCCTCTTAATTTTTAAGTAAGTCTGCTTTCACTTGACTTTTACCAAACATACACTGCATGACTTAAGATTTAACTGCTCCGCATTCTTAAGCAATATGAAATGATAAAAGCTAAAATAATATGCGTAATCAAAAAATAAGATTTACTCACTTAGCCAAAAAAGGCTGAACCTAAAAACTTTCCACGTTCCCAGAAACTAGATAAAACTACATTAAGTGAGGAGAATAGCCAAGATGTAGGCCACAGAGGGCCAGGGGTCATTGGTCCTAGAGGCAATAGAAAAAATTATCACAGTTCCAATGTCCTGCAATTTATGCCGTTATCTTGTGGTCTAGAGGACAGGTCAAAATACATTGTTTACAAATAAATTTAAGGCAGAAGCCAATGCTCCTCATTTGGAGGTGGCAGGACATTATGAACATAAGATGAGCATTGGAATAAAAACTCGGGTTCCAGTGGGTCTGTACTTATTACCAGCTGTGCCATCTTGGGCAAATGAAGCATCATATGCTCACCTACAAAATAGGGATAATGCTACTTACTTTGTAGATACTGTAGTAAGAAATAAATAATAATATAAAGGATTTAATGTAGTGTCTTGCTGTGTACTTACAGTACATTAAGAGTTTCCTTTTATTTTCCTTTCACTGCCCTAGGGTTTTCATAAAACTTAAATGACATAAGGTATATCAAGGCATTTACAGGCTACTAATTTTCAATCATACTTGCAAAAAAAATAAAGCTAAAGAACAAATATTTTGCATTGGTTGTTGCCTCAGAGTTAAAAAGCAAAACCAACAATAAAAACAATTAAGATTTAGGGGCGCCTGGGTGGCGCAGTCGGTTAAGCGTCCGACTTCGGCCAGGTCACGATCTCGCAGTCCGGGAGTTCGAGCCCCGCGTCGGGCTCTGGGCTGATGGCTCAGAGCCTGGAGCCTGTTTCCGATTCTGTGTCTCCCTCTCTCTCTGCCCCTCCCCCGTTCATGCTCTGTCTCTCTCTGTCCCAAAAATAAATAAATGTTGAAAAAAAAAATAAAAACAAAACAAAACAAAAAAAAAAAACAATTAAGATTTAGTCTTGGTCCCTGAAATGCAGCCAGATCAACACTAAACCAATCTTGCACAACTAGAAAACTGATTTGAGGATTAACACAACAATCTGCACAACCTGAACTACAGAACTTGGCAGGTGTGCAGCACAGAGAAGTGAACTGGGGGAGAGAGAAGCCGTGGAGGGGAGGAAACTATTTTTGCTTCTGGAGAGAGGATGGAGAAGGCAGGAAGAGTACGGGAAAGCATCCTTCCCCCAATCCCTGAAAGCAGCTGGAGAGAAAAGAAAGAGTATGCAAGGGACTGAACAAAAAAGGGAGAAAGGATAAAGAAAAGGGTTTAAATTCCATGAACACTTTATAAACAGGGGGAGTGCAGAGTCTCAAACTCCATAGCTAGATACCTGGTAGTGCTCTGGTGGGAAGGGCGAATCCCCAGGAGCAGAGAGCGAGGTCCGAGGGGTCCTCAGGCCACACGGGGAGAGCCGGTTCCCCGGCCGGGGGGACATTTCATAGAGGCTGTGAGACAACCCCACAGGCAAAGGTCCCAGAGGACCCTGGAGAAGAACCACATTCAATGGTGCTGGAACAAGGGCATTAAGGGGGAAGGCTGGTGCCAGATGTGTTGTGATTTACCATAATCCCTGAAACGCTGCTGCTACACAATCACATGAACTTTTTCTGCTATGGGCTGGCACCCAGTTGCAGTCTCTGAGCATCAGCAGCAGCACAGTCCTGCGAATGTTCCTGGCGGGCGGGCACCCTATCATTGATTGGTGAGACCCTCCCCCAGAGGGTCAGAACAGGTCAAAGCTGCAGTCCCTCAGTAGTAAGGGGCCGGGAAACACAGCCACATCTGAGACAAAACTCAGGAGGGAAGTGCCTCCTGGCAGCCTGACAGCTTGGTCACAGTATAAAAGCAGAGAGTGGACAGAAGCCGGAGGTAAAGGAGGGGTGCTTGACTGCCGGTCAGGGAGAGCACAGAGTTCTGATACGAGAGACTGGGTAGCTAGGTGACGCCATTTTCACCCCTCCCTCACATGCGCATACACACCTACTTGCACCACAACAACCCACCCTAGTAAGCTAAGCAGCGCCATCTAGTGGAGAATGGAGCCGTTACACTAAGCCCAGTCCAACTGGGCCAACTTCGCTCTTCAGGAACTCCTCAAGTCTCTCTGCGTGCTTAGTTAACGGACTATAAAGCGCTTCATAGTTTGACTGCTAGGGGAAACCGTTTTAATTTCAATCATATTTCAGTCTGTTTGCTAGTCCATCTGTTCACTTTTTTTTTCTTTTTCTTTTCTTATTCCTGAATACAGAAAGAGAAAAAAATTATTTTTACTTTCCACGGTTCTTAAAAATATTTTTAATTTTTTTCTACTATATTTTTTACTTTTTTTGTAAATTTTTCATATTCTATTTTGCTTCCATCATTTCATTTTATTCTATCCCAGTGTATTCATTTTTTCAACTTTTCAAACGTTTTCCTTTTTTTTCTTTCTTTTCTTTTCTTTTCTTTCCTTTTTTTCTCTAATCTATCAAGGTCCTTTCAACAAAAAGACCAAAACACACCTAGGATCTAACTTCCATTATTTGATTTTTTTTTTTTT